GAGACCACAGAATGCCCTTCTCACCGCCACTCGAATGTCCTCTGAAAATGGATCCAAATGCAGATTGCTCTTCAAGTCTACAAGAGCCCTTAGATCCGGTTCACATCTGAGCGACTTGGAATCCCGGGCAGAATTTTCACACTAAAACCGGGATGCGTGTTTGGGTGATATTCGTTCTTAATGGCACCTCACACGTGGTGTGGTTTTGCTGCGATTATCATGTGACAAAATGCACGAAAATTGCAGAACAACACATGATAAAAGCTGCGAGTAATGAAGCGAATGTATGTAGAAGAATTGCTGAGCCTTTACCCATTTCTTCTCTGCAACTTTATTTTTGGACCCATCCTTCCATGGCTGCACTAAAGGCGTGTGCTGTATAATAATGCTCAAGCTAGGGCTGCTGGCTTTGTATTATGGGGGGGGCGTTATATGGAGGTTGTATATGGGGGCTGTAAATGGGGGCTGTATATTGAGGCTGTATATTGAGGCTGTATATGGGGCTGTATATGGTGACTGTATATTGAGGCTGTATATTGAGGCTGTATATGGAGGTTGTATATTGAGTCTGTATATGGTGACTGTATATTGAGGCTGTATATGGTGACTGTATATTGAGGTTCTATATGGGGCTGTATATGGTGACTGTATATTGAGGTTCTATATGGGGCTGTATATGGAGGTTGTATATTGAGTCTGTATATGGTGGCTGTATATTGAGTCTGTATATGGAGGTTGTATATTGAGTCTGTATATGGAGGTTGTATATTGAGTCTGTATATGGAGGCTGTATACTGTGGCTGTATATGGGGGCTGTGTATGGAAGTTGTATATTGAGTCTGTATATGAGGCTGTATTCAGGGTCTGTATATTGAGGTTGTACATGAGGGCTCTATATGGAGGTTGTATATTGAGTTTGTATATGGGGGTTGTATATGGAAACTGTATATGGGGGCTATATATTGAGGCTGTATATGGGAGCTATATGTTGTGGCTGTATATGGGGGCTATATGTTGTGGCTGTATATGGGGGCTATATGTTGTGGCTGTATATGGGGGCTATATGTTGTGGCTGTATATGGGGGCTGTATATGGAGGTTGTGAATTGAGTATGTATATGAGGCTGTATTCAGGGTCTGTATATTGAGGTATTATATGGGGGCTCTATATGGATGTTGTATATGGAGGTTGTATATGGAGAGTGTATATGGGGGCTGTATTTTGAGACTTTATATGGGGGCTGTATATTGAGGCTGCATTTTGAGCCTGTATATGGGGGCTGTATATGGGGGCTGTGTACAGAGGATGTATATGGGGGCTGTATGTGGAGGCTGTATATGGAGGCTGTAAATTAGGGGCTGTATATTGAGTCTGGTCTGTATATGGGGGCTGTATATTGAGACTGGGGGCCGGATTTGGAGGCTGTATATGGGGGCTGGATTTGGAGGCTGTATATGGGGGCTGCACATTGAGACTGGGGACTGAATTTGGAGGCTGTATATGGGGGCTGTATATTGAGGCTGTATATGGGGGCTGGATATTGAGGCTGTATATGGGGGCTGGATATTGAGGCTGTATATGGGGGCTGGATATTGAGGCTGTATATGGGGGCTGGATATTGAGGCTGTATATGGGGGCTGGATTTGGAGGCTGTACATGACATGTATAATAGTTAAGCATTGTCACTGACACCAGAAGATGCACACACATCAGCTCCATAGAACACAGAAGCCCCCCCCCCCCCCCCCCCCTGGTAATGTCCCAAATGAAATTAATACGGATATAGAAGTTACTGGCAATAAGTAAAGAAATGTGAGGCGCCGGCGGCATGTCAGCGGCAGTCCTGGGGGAGGACTTGTCCAGACAAGACTCTTATTGGAGTTGTCATATCCATTACGGTTCTTTTCACGCTTCTGTGTCCCATCAATGTGGGCATCACATAGAGGAGCGTCTCTGCCAAGCGCCCGGCGCAGTCCCTGGATCTGGTCAGCTGGGGAATCGCTGCTACTAAATGGTTTGCGGTTGTGTTCAGACACTGTTATTATTTATATCACTGGTAGTCCATCTACAAATGATAGGGGGCTTTCACAGCGACCCCTGACACCTCCAGAGGGACACACAATAGCAGCACAATCTCGCACCTCAACATCCAAAAAGTTTGGTCCTGCTGCATTTTTTGAGGTGTATTGCAATGCACACTGAAGAAGTTGGGGTACAATAACCCCCAGCACTGGTGTCAGTGGATGCAGTAATAACCCTCAGCATTGGTGTCAGTGGATGCAATAAAAGCCCCCAGGATTTGTGTCATTGGATGCAAAAATAAACTCCAGCACTGGTGTCAGTGCACACAATATGAACCCCCAGCATTGGTGTCAATGGATACAGTAATAGCCCCCAGCACTGGTGTCAGCGGATGCATTAATAACCCCCCAGCATTGGTTCTAGTAAATAATAACCCCCAGCATTGCCCAGGGCATAATGCATTGGTTCCAGTGGGCACAATAATAACCCCCCAGCATTGGTTCCAGTGGATGCAACATAACCCCCAGCGTTGGTGTCAGTGGATGCAACAAGAACCCCCCCACATTGGTTCCAGTGAATGTGCACGATAATAACCCCCAGCATTGGTTCCAGTGGACAGCACTCACTAGTATCATAACCCCCCCCCCCCCCAGCACACACACACACCACACATGCACACACATAACCCCACACACACACACACAGGTGTCACTGGAGTGCAATTGAGAAGACCCCCCCCTTGTGTTCAGCAGAGTGAAAATGTGATACAGTAAATCCCCCAGCCATTGGAGGTTACTGGCAGTGGACAGCACCCCTCACTGGTATCAGTGGCAGTGCACGTTCCCCCCCCACACACACATGATTCTTTTTCTATACGTGCCACACATTGCAGGCACGGATTATATAGCGGCACCATACTAATCTGTGCTGTGTAAAGTGAGGCAATCATTTCAGCCATTGCAGAACTCTCTCCTTTCCCCTGCAGCTGCTGCAGGCTGACCCAGGGGATCACCGGACCAGAGCGGAGTGGGATGATAATCGTAAGTATATAAATAAATGTAATATCAGAATGTCCGGCTTACAATGCTCTGCGGTTGGACCTTACAAATGGCGGACATTGTACAGTGATGGCGGACTGCAATGCCTTGGGATAGAGGCTCTTCCTAGCTGCAGATGGCTGGTCTCTGTGCATCCTCCATGTACATCTCAGCACTTCTGTCTGCATTTCTCCGAGCTCACAGAGTGGATGGAGACTGCCCAAGGCGGACTTCAGAGTGGATTGTGACTATTAATTGCAGGTGTGCCCCTAACATGCTGGAGGTGGAGGAAAGGTTATGGCCAGAGGAGGAGCAGAGTCATTGGACCCCTCTCCAGGCATGAAACACATGCTTCTCATTTAGGCTGAAGAGATGACTGGGTGTGATGGAGGTGAGGCGGTGACACTGTGTTAGAGTGACTGCAGGCTATTTGGAGAGGAGAAGGGATTTATGGCAAATCACAGCACAGAGAACACACCTGGGTAATAGACACCCAGCCAGAACCCACCCACAGTGTGTAGGCTACAGCAACCATTCTCAACCATGGGGTTCCTCAAGGGGTTTCTGGGGGTTCCTTGAGCTGTGACCGACTGACATCCCATCTAATGGTGTCTGCATAGTTCCAGATTCAATCCAGAGCCAGCTGCATGGCACCAGTTTATCTTTTTTAGCTATCTGTAAGGGACATTCTCCCACTGACCCCCAATGTAAGGGACATTCTTCCCACTGACCCCCAATGTAAGGGACATTCTTCCCACTGACCCCCGATGTAAGGGACATTCTTCCCCCAACTGACCCCCGATGTACTGACCCCCAATGTAAGGGACATTCTTCCCCACTGACCCCCAATGTAAGGGACATTCTTCCCACTGACCCCCAATGTAAGGGACATTCTTCCCACTGACATACAATTCATTCTTCCACTGACCCCCAATGTAAGGGACAGTTCTTCCCACTGACACCAATGTAAGGGACATTCTTCCCACTGACCACCAATGTAAGGACATTCTTCCCACTGACCCCCCCAATGTAAGGGACATTCATTCTTCCCACTGACCACCAATGTAAGGGACATTCTTCCCACTGACCCCCAATGTAAGGGACATTCTTCCCACTGACCCCCAATGTAAGGGACATTCTTCCCACTGACCCCAATGTAAGGGACATTCTTCCCACCAATGTAAGGGACATTCTTCCCACCCCCGATGTAAGGGGACATTCTTCCCACCCCCCAATGTAAGGGACATTCTTCCCACTGACCCCCAATGTAAGGGACATTCTTCCCACTGACCCCCAATGTAAGGGACATTCTTCCCACTGACCCCCAATGTAAGGACATTCTTCCCACTGACCACCAATGTAAGGGACATTCTTCCCACTGACCCCCCCAATGTAAGGGACATTCTTCCCACTGATCCCCCCCAATGTAAGGGACATTCTTCCACTGACCCCCAATGTAAGGGACATTCTTCCCACTGACCCCCAATGTAAGGGACATTCTTCCCACTGACCCCCAATGTAAGGGACATTCTTCCCACTGACCACCAATGTAAGAGACATTCTTCCCACTGACCCCCCCCCCCATGTAAGGGACATTCTTCCCACTGACCACAATGTAAGGGACATTCTTCCCACTGACCCCCAATGTAAGGGACATTCTTCCCACTGACCCCCCCAATGTAAGGGACATTCTTCCCACTGACCACCAATGTAAGGGACATTCTTCCCACTGACCCCCAAATGTGAGGGACATTCTTCCCACTGACCCCAATGTAAGGAACATTCTTCCCACTGACCCCCAATGTAAGGGACATTCTTCCCACTGACCACCAATGTAAAGGGGCATTCTTCCCACTGACCCCCAATGTAAGGGACATTCTTCCCACTGACCCCCAATATAAGGGACATTCTTCCCACTGACCATCAATGTAAGGGACATTCTTCCCACTGACCCCCCCAATGTAAGGGACATTCTTCCCACTGACCCCCAATGTAAGGGACATTCTTCCCACTGACCACCAATGTAAGGGACATTCTTCCCACTGACCCCCAATGTAAGGGACATTCTTCCCACTGACCCCCAATGTAAGGGACATTCTTCCCACTGACCCCCAATGTAAGGGACATTCTTCCCACTGACCACCAATGTAAGGGACATTCTTCCCACTGACCCCCAATGTAAGGGACATTCTTCCCACTGACCCCCAATGTAAGGGACATTCTTCCCACTGACCCCCCAATGTAAGGGACATTCTTCCCACTAACCCCCAATGTAAGGGACATTCTTCCCCACTGACCACCAATGTAAGGGACATTCTTCCCACTGACCCCCCAATGTAAGGGACATTCTTCCCACTGATCCCCCCCAATGTAAGGGACATTCTTCCCACTGACCACCAATGTAAGGGACATTCTTCCCACTGACCCCCAATGTAAGGGACATTCTTCCCACTGACCCCCAATGTAAGGGACATTCTTCCCACTGACCACCAATGTAAGGGACATTCTTCCCACTGACCCCCAATGTAAGGGACATTCTTCCCACCGACCCCCCAATGTAAGGGACATTCTTCCCACTGACCCCCAATATAAGGGACATTCTTCCCACTGACCATCAATGTAAGGGACATTCTTCCCTCCGACCCCCCAATGTAAGGGACATTCTTCCCACTGACCCCCAATGTAAGGGACATTCTTCCCACTGACCACCAATGTAAGGGACATTCTTCCCACTGACCACCAATGTAAGGGACATTCTTCCCACTGACCACCAATGTAAGGGACATTCTTCCCACTGACCCCCAATGTAAGGGACATTCTTCCCACTGACCCCCCAATGTAAGGGACATTCCCCACTGACCCCCAATGTAAGGGACATTCTTCCCACTGACCCCCAATGTAAGGGACATTCTTCCCACCGACCCCCCCAATGTAAGGGACATTCTTCCCACTGACTCCCAATGTAAGGGACATTCTTCCCACTGACCCCCAATGTAAGGGGCATTCTTCCTACTGACCCCCAATGTAAGGGGCATTCTTCCCACTGACCCCCCAATGTAAGGGACATTCTTCCCACTGACCCCCAATGTAAGGGACATTCTTCCCACTGACCCCCAATGTAAGGGGCATTCTTTCCCACTGACCCCCAATGTAAGGGACATTCTTCCCACTGACCACCACTGTGGATCAGTACTTACATTGTCCATATTGTCCATACTGGTAGCTTGCCACGGGGTCCATGCTGTATCCCGTCGTGCTGTAAGTCGGGGGCGCAGTAGGACTGAGATGTGGGGAGGCTGTCCACAGACTTGATGGAATCACTGCGCTGGCTGCAGCTCGCAGACAGGGAATTGGTGGTCTCCAACCCGCTATGTAGCGGGGAGATGGAAAACTCCGACTGGCTCTGGGGGGGCACACCGCTGGGACTGCTTAGAATGCTCATAACCTGCAATGAGAAGAGTGAACTGGTTGAAATGGCAGCTTTATGTTCGCAGTAACGCCAGGCTATGGAATTATACCAAGTAACACATTTCCTTTAAAGGAGAACTCCACTTTTTTGGGGAGAAAAATTAGCAATTAAAATACAATACATCGTGTACAATCGCTACACAAGTCATATTATACTTCAATGGTAGTAGAAATGACCTTTCCTATTCAATCTGCAGCCGCGGTCATTTTCTGTAAAATACAATATGGCCGCCTGAAGGCGCTCTGTACACAGACGGTATACTAGATGGTACATAGACGGCATTTTTTGTGCGTTCCCACCCGTCATTTGTAGGGAAGTCCATTAGTTTCAATGGGCTACTCTACCCACAAGAAACACGGGGAAAGGAGTCCCCGACCCTCGAGTACAATTGTGCTGCACTAAACTGCATGGTTGCTGCAGCCCTGTGTGGTTCGGCAAAAGTGCTTCTTGATGCATGGGGTGCCATTAGAACTTTCATAGGAATGCATGGGGAGCCATTAGAACTTTCATAGGAATGCATGGGGTGCCATTAAGACTTTCATAGGAATGCATGGGGTGCCATTAAGACTTTCATAGGAATGCATGGGGTGCCATTAAGACTTTCATAGGGATGCATGGGGTGCCATTAAGACTTTCATAGGAATGCATGGGGTGCCATTAAGACTTTCATAGGAATGCATGGGGTGCCATTAAGACTTTCATAGGGATGCATGGGGTGCCATTAAGACTTTCATAGGGATGCATGGGGTGCCATTAAGTATTGTATGGGGATGCATGGGGTGTCATTAAGTATTACATGGGAATGCAAGGTGTGTCATTTGGTATTGTATGGGGATGCAAGGGGTTCCATTAAGTACTGTATGGGGATGCAAGAGGTGCCATTAAGAGTTTCATAGGGATGCATGGGGTGCCATTAAGTACTGTAAGGGAAAGCATGGGGTGCCATTAAGAATTTCATAGGGATGCAAGGGGTGCCATTAAGTATTCTACGGGGATACAAGAGGTTCTATTAGGTATTGTATGGGGTAGCAAGGGGTACCATTAAGAATTGCATGGGGATGCAAGGGGTGTCATTAAGAAATGCATGGGGATGCAAGTGGTGCCATTAGCTATTGTATGGGGATGCAAGGGGTGCCATTAAAGTATTACATGAGGATGCAAGGGGTGCCAGTAGGTATTGTATGGGGATGCAAGGGGTGCCATTAAGTATTGCATGAGGATGCAAGGGGTGCCATTAAGTATTCCACATGGATGCAAGGGGTGCCAGTAGGTATTGTATGGGGATGCAAGGGGTGCCATTAAGTATTACATGAGGATGCAAGGGGTGCCATTAGGTATTGCATGGGGATGCAAGGGGTGCCATTAGGTATTGCATGGGGATGCAAGGGGTGCCATTAGGTATTGCATGGGGATGCAAGGGGTGCCATTAGGTATTGCATGGGGATGCAAGGGGTTACCATTACCTGTAAGTATTGTAAGGCGATGCAAGGGGTGCCATTACGAAATGCATGGGGATCCAAGGGGTGCCATTAGGTATTGTATGGGGATGAAAGGGGTGCCATTAAGTACTGCATGGGGATATGTGGGGTGCCATTAAGTATTCTACGGGGATGCATTGAGTGCAATTAAGAATTCTTTACGAAGCAATGGCATCCATTCTGCGTCTGCTAAAAAGCAGCACGTTTCTGTGCAAGTAAGGAAAGTTCTTCATTTTTCTTGCGTTCACGACATGCATAGATATGAACCAAGCCTTACTGGCATCCCCATGTATCATGTGGTCTGGTGAAGAGCAATTTTATGCAAGGTCCGGGAAATTCTTTCCCCAAATTTTTCTCAGGTAGGGAAGCCCATTGAAATGAATGGAGCGCTCTACATGCGACATGTGGCAACATGTGAAAAACACGTGGAACCACGGGCGCTCTAGATTGCACCTCATTGATGTGAACCTAGTCCAGGCCCCTCTACCTTTGTATTTTGATGTGCTCCATAGCCCATTCTTTCTCCAAGTCTTCCTACAATGTGACAACACCTCAACCCATAAGACCTTGGATATGTCTTGACTCAAATATTACGACCTACTGATGTTCTTGGTCCAAAGACACCCTGGATTTTAATTCATTTTAATTTTCTTTGCAATGTATTCAATATTTCCTATAAAAAAAGGTTAAAACTTTGAGTAAAAACATATTTCCTGCCGAGTGACGGAGATTTTGCTACGTACAGTTGGGTTGTCCAAGGTGGTGTCTCCAGCATTAGAGATCTATACATAGACCTATGCAGGGGTGGACTGACCATTTGGAAACTCAGGCACTGCCCGAGGGCCCGGGGTCAGTAGGGGCCCCTGGTACCATTTTCATAGGCTTTTTTTGAGTTTGGGCAAGGACACAGGGGCACCATGATTCCCTATTGCCCGGGGGCCCCATGAGTTCTCAGTCCGCCCCTGGACCTATGCATTGTCCTGGCCATGACCCTTCGTACTGGCTATCCATCCTCCTGACCTCGCTCACCTACCCCCTTCACTTTGCTGACCGGTTCCGCAGAAGCCGGGGCCAAGGAGGAGGCGGCTGTTCCTCTGCAAAACAGGTTAATATGATTTCTAGAAAGTGTTTGAAGCCAGGGTCCAGAGGAAGGGCCACTATAATCCCTCGCCCCCCCCCCCCATACCTCGCCTCTATAATGTATTACTTCTTAGTATATTACCATCACTAACCAAAAATCAATTGCCGAGCGACATCTGTAAGACTTTATCTGCAGGGATATCAGGGGCCTGTCAGTCCGGCTGAGTGGCAGATTTCCCTCCCTTCCCCCTTCTCTTTCTGTCACCCCTTCCTACTCTCTCTCTGCACCGCTGCCCCAAATCAGTCACAGCCGATTCGCATTAACCTCTCCGCTGCCTGGCGGCTTCACAGTCAACATTAAGCTGATGGCTTTTTTTTGCAAATTTTTACTTCTCTAATTCAAACCCAAAAAAACGATGATGGCGGAGGATGGCGCCGGCTCGGTGATCTGCATCTACACATTACTGGTAATGGGCATGGCAAATCCATTCAGGGTTGGCAGTCGAGCTGCTTTTGTTTTTTTTCACCTTTTGGGTGAGGAGAGTTCTTGCTTTGTTATGGCAAAAAAAACAAAAAAAAAACCTCAAAAAGGTTCAATTAATAAGCCACAGTGTGCCAAGTGCAATGTCTGTTCTCCACCAATCAGCCAACAGAAGGCCTGCCAAGGGACAAACTACCCCTGGGGCCATACATGGAGACTGGTCCCAAGACAGTGACTTGCTGCAATACCTGGTCACATCACAACAAGCCCATAAAAACAATTGTTTCAGCAACTTCATTGTATTTTTTTCAGGACCATCACATGACTATAGCCGGCCATACGCGGGTCGAATTCCGAAAGAATTTTCTTTAGAAAATCTTTTCTACGAATTTTCGTTCGAATTTTGCATCGTTAGTGGGTCACAGAAACGGCCAGTTTTCACGTGACCATTGAATTTGAGTGATCTGGCATGCTGTAAATTTTTTGAAAAACGAATTTCGAATCAATGATGGGAGAATCAGTCAAGAAATATAAACTAAAAGAAACAAGCGGGAGATATGACCTGGAAAGAAAAGAAAATTCTTGGCCACGAAAATTCTTTTCTGTAGCAACATGAGGGGGAATTGAAGGCTTGGTTGGTAGAATTTCTAAATCAATGGTGGCGCCATCGGATTACAAAACGCATGAAATTTGCAATTTTCTAAAGAAAAGTTGTTCGTAATTGGACCCATGTATGGCCTGCATAAGTATGGCTATATCTGCCACCAAGAGCTGCAACCACTTTCAAGATCAGCTGTAAAGATCAAGCTATAAAAGCGATTGTCCTTGCACAGAAAAATTTTCATCATGCTGGAAAATGTCTGTACGATTGGGGTCAGCTCTGTTTTCCATAGAGAGAAGGAACATTTCCTTCACTGCAGTTGCAAGGACTGTAGTAGACTATTGAGCTCCTGCAATGTCGGCAGTGATAAGAGACATATCATTTATTACCAGCCTGCTGCAAAGCCAATAATCTTCTTGCACCTTCATGTCCACCCAGCCACCCAAATCTAAGGGTCCCACAGTTGAAAGATAGCCAAGCTACCTACCTAGGCTCCTTAGATAAGCCAATCTCAACCAGGGTTCCTGGAGAATCCTCCAGAAGTTGCCATGGGTTCCTTGAGTTGTGGATAATTAGCCCCCTACCTGATGATGCCTGCATAGTTCCAGGTCCACCACCACTTGGTAAAGCTAGGAGCATGACACCAGATGTCATTTTAATTGTCTAAAGGGTAACATTCTGACCACTACTCTAAGGGAGGGCATTCTTGCCCTTGAGCAACATTTTAAGGGACCTTCTTCCCATTGAACCCCAACTCAGGGGATTTCTGAGACCTGAAAATTATTGTAAGGGGTAAACACAGTAGCAAGGACTGTAGTAGACTATTGAGCTCCTGCAATGTCGGCAGTGATAAGAGACCTATCATTTATTACCAGCCTGCTGAAAAGCCAATAATCTTCTTGCACCTTCATGTCCACCCCAGCCACCCAAATCTAAGGGTCCACATAGTTGAAAGATAGCCAAGATACCTACCTAGGCTCCTTAGATAAGCCAATCTCAACCAGGGTTCCTGGAGATTTTCTCCAGAAGTTGCCATGGGTTCCTTGAGCTGTGGATAATTAGCCCCTACCTACCTGATGATGCCTGCATAGTTCCAGGTCCACCACCACTTGGTAAAGCTAGGAGCATGACACCAGATGTCATTTTAATTGTCTAAAGGGTAACATTCTGACCACTACTCTAAGGGAGGGCATTCTTGCCCTTGAGCAACATTGTAAGGGACCTTCCTCCATCGAACCCCAACTCAGGGGATTCCTGAGACCTGAAAATTATTTTAAGGGGTGTAAAAAGACTTAGTAGAGAAAGGCTGCATTAGATCGTATCATTTATTACCAGCCTGCTGAAAAGCCAATAATCTTCTTGTACCTTCATGTCCACCCAGCCACCCAAATCTGAGGGTCCCACAGTTGAAAGATAGCCAAGCTACCTACCTAGGCTCCTTAGATAAGCCAATCTCAACCAGGGTTCCTGGAGATTCCTCAAGAAGTTGCCATGGGTTCCTTGAGCTGTGGATAATTAGCCCCCCACCTGATGGTGCCTGCATAGTTCCAGGTCCATCACCACTTGGTAAAGCTAGGAGCATGACACCAGGGGGTTTATTTACTAAAGCTGGAGAGTCCAAAATCAGACTCCCTTCTGCATAGAAACCAATCAGCTTCCAGGTTTCATTGCCAAAGCTTCATTGAACAAGCTGAGGTTAGAAGCTGATTGGTTTCTATGCAGAAGGGAGTCTGATTTTGGACTCTCCAGCTTTAGTAAATAACCCCAGATGTCTTTTTTAACTGTCTAAAGGGTAACATTCTGACCACTACTCTAAGGAAGGGCATTCTTCCCCTTGACCAACATTTTAAGGGACCTTCCTCCCACTGAACCCCAAATCAGGGGATTCCTGAGACCTGAAAATTATTTTAAGGGGTAAAAACGGTAGAGTAAGGCTGCATTAGATGGTGGCAGTACAAGTACGCTCAGTCTGGCCAAGGAACGGTCTTTAAAGACCATTCTGCAAACATACGGGCGAACTTGCAGTTTTGGACTAGGAGGTGGTATGCTCTTGCGCATGATTTATTGTTGGGGAAAGGGGTGGGGGGGTAATGGAAACATTCAACATAGTCCAACCTAACCAATCAGTTTTCCACAAAAAAGAGTCAACCAGGGTCAGAAAGGGCTCGTAGACCAAAGATTGTTGAGGGATCTGACCTAAGCTGTTCCATTGGAAGAGCAATCATTGGTTTCTGTAGGCACCTCCAAACCTGCGCCACTGCCCTTGGTCTATTTGAGCTGTTCTAATTAAACACTATGGCTGCTCTAACATTCTGGGTTATTGTACTTTCTACATCTCTGCTACTTTTTGCTTTGTGGTATAAACTTGAAAGCGTTACTGAAAATGGGGCATAACAACGAGAATGTATCTGTTTTATTCCCCGTATGTTCTAGATTTATGGAATAATGTATTTGGGCGGAATGGAATACCACATCTCACAGAAGCACAGATAACCCCCCTCGTGTATCGGTGTAACCCTTGCCTAGCCTAGCTCTGCATAACACGAGGGGCCTCTACTCAACCTTGACCCGAGGTCAGTCGGCTCGTAGTCTAGGACACGTGTTCTCCTTGACACCGGGAAATGTCCTTTCACTGCCCCCTTCCTCTGTATCTCTCTTCACATTCACTCTTTCTTCCCTCCGCCGACACTCTTTCCCCTCAGGAGGTTTCATCATCCTCTCTCCGTACTTTAAAAGAAGAGGAGTTAAAAAAAAAAATGTAAATTAATTCCCTCTATTTCTGAGCAGGGCCTGAGGGTCTGTGTCCACGGAGGCTCCAGCCAGGCAAATCTGCACCCTTTATGATAAACCGAGTCAGCTTTAGACGTTCAAGTGCAATTAGGATCCCCCATCTCGAGACCATCAGCTCTTCCAACTTCTTGGGCCGCAGGAGGAAGAGAAATTGAGCTGCGGAGGAAACTACATGAAAGTAGGAGATAGGGATGAAAGGCCATCTACCGTATACAATATGGACAGGAACCTTATATTATCTCTGGGATATAGGATCCGCCGCATGCAAGCATGTTAAGAGATTAGACGCCAACTTTACAGGAAATAACACTTTCTTCTACACTGTTATTCTTTGTGTTTGCAAATTTTTAGCTCCAATTTTTTCTTTTTTAATTTCAGGAAAGGATGGCAGCATTGAATTCACAGACGTATTTTTTTTTTTTTTATAGGTTTGAGGCTTTCGCTGCGGAATATATTATGGATATTCCAACATAAGAAAGGGAAATCATTGAGACGCGATTATCCTGGACCTGTCATCTCCCAACTATGAAGTCGGTAACGTTCATTAGTCCTTCCATTAATTAGCATCTGGTGACAACGATGAGACGTTTGTGACGTTATGCCTTGGTTGGGGTCGCCACTTTTTAAGTGAAATGACTGCTTTCTCGTGATTGCAGACTATCTCAGGCAACGTGGGGACTTAATACGCAGAATTCGGTGGCTTTTTTCGGAAAAAAAAGGAAAATTAGACTTCCTCTGGAGCACAAGTGGCCCTATGTTCATTAGCCACCGGTTCATCCCCGAGACGCTTGAAAAAAAGAAAATTCTATACCGGGGCGGACTGACCATTTGGAAACTCGGGCACTGCCCGAAGGCCCGGGGTCAGTAGGGGGCCCCATGAGATGCCCCTGGTACCTTTCTCATAGGCTTTTTTGAGTTTGGGCAAGGACACTGGGGCCCCATGATCCCCTATTGCCCGGGGGCCAAATGAGTTGTCAGTCTGCCCCTGCTCTTTCTATACATTTCTGTATCATATGTTGGAATTCTCATACTCTTTAAATAATTTGGATTTGGATTTATGAATTTGGATTTGGATTTGGATTTATGGCGCCAACAGTTTGCTCAGCGCTTTACAAAATAAAGGGAGACAATACAGTTCAATACAAGAGGGTTAGGAGGCCCTGATCCTGGGAGCTTACAATCTAAGAGGGAGGGGCTGGTGGTACAAAAAGTAATAACTGTGGGGGATGAACTGGTAGGAAGAGTAGAAGATTCCGTTATTGGCTGAAGGCGGGATAGGCTTCCCTGAAGAGATCGATTTTTCAGAGATCGCCTAAAAGTGGGCAGAGTAGGCGATAGTCTAATAGATTGGGGTAGAGAGTTCCAGAGGATGGGGGAGGCTCTGGAGAAGTCCTGGAGGTTAGCATGGGAGGAGGAGACAAGAGAGCTAGAGAGTAGGAGGTCGTGCTAAGAGCGGAGAGGACGGTTTGGGTGATATTTGGAGACAATGATCGGTGATGTAATTGGGGGCGGAGTTATAAATGGCTTTATATGTTATTGTTATTGTTTTGAATTTTATTTGTTGGGCAACTGGGAAGCCAGTGGAGGGATTGGCAGAGAGGGGTGGAGGACACTGAATGGAGGGATTGGCAGAGAGGGGTGGAGGACACTGAATGGAGGGATTGGCAGAGAGGGGGTGGAGGACACTGAATGGAGGGATTGGCAGAGAGGGGTGGAGGACACTGAATGGAGGGATTGGCAGAGAGGGGTGGAGGACACTGAATGGAGGGATTGGCAGAGAGGGGTGGAGGACACTGAATGGAGGGATTGGCAGAGAGGGGTGGAGGACACTGAATGGAGGGATTGGCAGAGAGGGGGGTGGAGGACACTGAATGGAGGGATTGGCAGAGAGGGGTGGAGGACACTGAATGGAGGGATTGGCAGAGAGGGGTGGAGGACACTGAATGGAGGGATTGGCAGAGAGGGGGTGGAGGACACTGAATGGAGGGATTGGCAGAGAGGGGTGGAGGACACTGAATGGAGGCCAGTGGAGGGATTGGCAGAGAGGGGTGGAGGACACTAAATGGAGGCCAGTGGAGGGATTGGCAGAGAGGGGTGGAGGACACTGAATGGAAACCAGTGGAGGGATTGGCAGAGAGGGGTGGAGGACACTGAATGGAGGCCAGTGGAGGGATTGGCAGAGAGGGGTGGAGGACACTGAATGGAGGTCCAGTGGAGGGATTGGCAGAGAGGGGTGGAGGACACTGAATGGAGGTCAGTGGAGGGATTGGCAGAGAGTGGGTGGAGGGACACTGAATGGAGGGATTGGCAGAGAGGGGTGGGGGGATTGGCAGAGAGGGGGTGGGGACACTGATGGAGGCCAGTGGAGGGATTGGCAGAGAGTGATGGATGACACTGAATGGAGGGGTTGGCAGAGAGGAGTGGAGGACACTGAATGGAGGCCAGTGGAGGGATTGGCAGAGAGGGGTGGAGGACACTGAATGGAGGCCAGTGGAGGGAGATCAACGCTCCCAGAAGGTGGAAGGACCCACTGAGCCAAGCAGAGGACACAGGGGATCGACACTTCAAGAAGGATGAAGGAACCAATGAGTGCAGTGGGAGCGCAGGAGATCAACAGAGGGCAGAAGGAACCACAGAGCCAAGCAATGGACACAGGAGATTAACACTCCCAGAAGGTTTGAAGGAACCACTGAGTGCTGTGGGGGCACAGGAGATCAACAATCCCAGAAGGTGGAAGAAGCCACTGAGCCCAGTGATGGACATAGGAGATCAACCTTCACACATGGTGGGAGGAACCACTGAGTGCAGTGGGGCACAGGAGATCAACACTCCCCACATTCTGGGAGGAACCACGGAGTGCAGTGGGGGCACAGGAGATCAACACTCCCACATGCTGGGAGGAACCACGGAGTGCTTCAACAATAAAATATTCCCAGAGAACTGATTTTCACCAAATAAATATTTAGGATTCCATTGATAATATTCTTACATTTTGCTGCCTCCCTGACTCAAAACAAGCATGCAGCCAGCAAAGCCAGAGTAAAATCCAGACCCCTGATCTGCATGAAGCTGGAGGATCGGCATGCCGGACAGTCTCTCTAGTCATGCATGCGTAGTGCTACATTCCCGGGTTCGCAGGCAACAAACGCATGCCGACTGCTCCGAGTACCCGAGCAACAGAAAGTTTTGGAACAAAGTTTTGAATTTCCAGATTGATGGCGGTTCCTTGTGCTGCCCGGCCAATCGGCTCTCCTCACCTTTCCATCACCCTCTGCCGGCTAAGCAGGTTGCCCCCCCCCCCCTCCATCATCTCTCTGCCCTGGGGGGGGGTCTTGGTAATGGAGAGTTCACACTGACTTATTGCTTCAAAACAAGATTTCCTGAGATCTGTAGAACTACCCCCCCCCCCCCCCTTCTCCTCTCTGGTGGAAGGTTCGATAAATGTGAAAGAGCTTCGACACAAAGACTTCTTGGAGTGACACATCCCAGCCTGGGGCGTTCTGACTCCGGCTCAGTATCAGCACCAGCACTGCCTCTCTGATCAATCACAGACCTCTCTATCTGTGAGCCGGGCTTAGCATCGCTCCCTGGGCCCGATCTACACGCCCAGAGGGGTCAGCCGCAGATATTAGAGCTCAGGGAGGGAGATAACACTCAGATTTGTTTCCAGAAGATACTGACCTTCTGATTGCTTCCCCAATTCCCTCGAATTAACGCATGTGATACACTTCTGATCCACTCCGGCGTGCGCTGCATCGATCGTTATTATTTTCAGGGTTTACCGGAACCCAGAGGAGCAAAAGTCCCTCTCATCCCCACATGCGTGCCGCTCCTGAAGTCCCTGATTTGGCTTCATTGTATTTATATCATTTGTATTACTCTATATATATATATACTCTTCCTACTGTCTATCTATATATCAGATATAAATAATGGCAGTCTCTCAGCTGCAGATGGGGGTTGCCACCATCCCTGTATAATTACACAATATCTACAAAAATCTTTTTTTTTGGGGGGGGCAAACCGAGCCAGAATTATATCCACTTGAAGATCCGGCCTTTTCTGATACTTTTTGTTTAGATTTATAAATCGGTATTTTTTTTTTCTGATAGAAAATTACTTAGAACCTCCAAACATTATATATATACATACAAGAAGGCTTTTTTTGCTCAAAAAATAGGTGCAGAACTCCCCCCTTCTGAGTCACTGCTTGTCTCCACTCCCTACCCACCTCCGAGCACCGTCACTTGGTTCCACCCCCTACCCACCTCCAAAGCACCATCACTTGGTTCCACCCCCTACCCACCTCCTAGCACCATCACCTGGTTCCACCCACTACCCACCTTCGAGCACCATCACTTGGTTCCACAACCTACCCACCTCCTAGCACCATCACCTGGTTCCACCCCCTACCCACCTCCGAGCACCATCACCTGGTTCCACCCCCTACCCACCTCCGAGCACCATCACTTGGTTCCACCCCCTACCCACCTCCTAGCACCATCACCTGGTTCCACCCCCTACCCACCTCCGAGCACCATCACTTGGTTCCACCCCTACCCACCTCCGAGCACCATCACTTGGTTCCACAACCTACCCACCTCCGAGCACCATCACTTGGTTCCACAACCTACCCACCTCCGAGCACCATCACCTGGTTCCACCCCCTACCCACCTCCGAGCACCATCACTTGGTTCCACCCCCTACCCACCTCCGAGCACCATCACCTGGTTCCACCCCCCCCTACCCACCTCCGAGCACCATCACTTGGTTCCACCCCCTACCCACCTCCGAGCACCATCACTTGGTTCCACCCCCCTACCCACCTCTGAGCACCATCACTTGGTTCCACCCCCTACCCACCTCCGAGCACCATCACTTGGTTCCACAACCTACCCACCTCCGAGCACCATCACCTGGTTCCCACCCCTACCCACCTCCGAGCACCATCACTTGGTTCCACAACCTACCCACCTCCGAGCACCATCACCTGGTTCCACCCCCTACCCACCTCCGAGCACCATCACTTGGTTCCACCCCCCTACCCACCTCCGAGCACCATCACTTGGTTCCACCCCCTACCCACCTCCGAGCACCATCACTTGGTTCCACCCCCTACCCACCTCCGAGCACCATCACCTGGTTCCACCCCCTACCCACCTCCGAGCACCATCACTTGGTTCCACCCCCTACCCACCTCCGAGCACCATCACCTGGTTCCACCCCCTACCCACCTCCGAGCACCATCACTTGGTTCCACCCCCTACCCACCTCCGAGCACCATCACTTGGTTCCACCCCCTACCCACCTCCCGAGCACCATCACTTGGTTCCACCCCTACCCACCTCCGAGCACCATCACTTGGTTCCACAACCTACCCACCTCCGAGCACCATCACTTGGTTCCACCCCCTACACACCTCCGAGCACCATCACTTGGTTCCACCCCCTACCCATCTCCGAGCACCATCACTTGGTTCCACAACCTACCCACACCTCCGAGCACCATCACTTGGTTCCACCACCTACCCACCTCCGAGCACCATCACCTGGTTCGACGTCCACCCCCTACCCACCTCCGAGCACCATCACTTGGTTCCACCCCCTACCCACCTCTGAGCACCATCACTTGGTTCCACCCCCTACCCACCTCCCAGGACCTCTCCTTTTAGAGAATATAGAGCCAAGTATCACTTTGTGGTGCTGAATAATTTTTATGGAATTTATTAATAACAAGAAAAGCAGAAAGATAGTCCCTCCCTCAACCCCCCCCCCCCCCCCAGCAGCAATAGATTCCTCCAGCAACAATGGACTCCCGAAACAAAATACACAGATGTCCCGGCATCCAGCAACAATGGACTTTCCAGCAGTTAGCAACAATAAAACAGTATATCCCTTCCAGCAACAAGTGACCCCCAATCAACCATAGATCCCCCACCAGCAACAATAAACCACCACACAATAACAGATCCCTTCAAGTGACGATAGATCCCCCGGCAGTCAGCAACAATAAATCCTCCAGCACCCCTTGCACCCCTTGCATTGCATATATCCAGTGCTGGAGGTGCTAGAACTCATATATATAATTTTTTATTTTTTAGCATAGGCCCTGGAGAATAAAAGTGTTTTTATGTCACACAGTATTTTGCGCAGCGGTTTTTCAAATGCAATTTTTTAGGGAAAATTACACTTTCATGAATTTTAATACACAAAAGCACAACGTAATACTCATTTTGTTTTGTGAAAAATATAAAAGATGATGTTATGCCGAGTAAATAGATACCAAACATGTCACGCTTTAAAATTGCGGAATGGCGCCAAGCGGTGGTATTTTTTAAAATCTCCATAGGCAATGCTTTGTAAGACCTTTCACAGGTTACCAGTCTAGAGTTACAGAGGAGGTCTGGCTCTAGAATGACTGCTCTCGCTCCGACGCTCTCGGCAATACCTCACATGTGTGGTGCGATTGGCAGCACAGGGGGATGGGGGTGCTTAGAATTTTTTTTTTTTTTAATGTTATTATTTTATTTATTTAGTTTATCATTATTATTATTTTTATTATTATTATACAGGATTTATGGCTCCAAGTTTGCTCAGCACTTTACAATATAAAGGGAGACAATACAGTTCAATACAAGAGGGATAGGAGGGCCCTGATCCTGGGAGCTTACAATCTAAGAGATTGATTTATTTATGTATTTATTTTTTACCCTGTTTCTTTAATTTTTTTTTTTCATCACTTTTATTGCTGTCATGGGGCCCCCGGGCAATAGTGGATCATGGGGCCCCTGTGTCCTTGCCCACACTCAAACCACACCCACAAAAAGCTTATGAAAGGTACCAGGGGCAACTCATGGGGCCCCCTACTGGGCCAGGACCCTCGGGCAGTGCCTGAGTTCCCAAATGGTCAGTCCGCCCCTGGTCACAAGGAATGTAAACATCCCCGGTGACAGCAAGGGACCCGGGGTCAGTAGGGGGCCCCATGAGATGCCCCTGGTACCTTTTTTATAGGCTTTTTTGAGTTTGGGCAAGGACACAGGGGCCCCATGATCCCCTATTGCCCGGGGGCCCCATGAGTTGTCAGTCCGCCCCTGGGATGGAGTGGAGAGGGATTAGACCCCTGTCAGGTTTTTATTGCTGTTTGTGCCGCTGAGAGCAAAAGAAAATCTCACATTTCGGGTTGGCTCCAGAACAGGAGTAGAAGGGAAATCTGCCAATGGGGACAACCAAGGATTCCCTCACTTTGGAGGGATTTCCTCTCATTTCCTGTTTTGGCTATATAAGTACCTGAAATGAATGAAAAGCAATTTTGTAATTTATCCAGATTCCCCTCCTAAACCAAAAGGGAAGAATGAGCTGGTGGATCTGGACGATCTGGTGGATCCAGGAAAGGATCTGAATCGGGGGCGGACTGACCATTGGGGAAGTCGGGCACTGCCCGGGGTCAGTAGGGGGCCCCATGAGATGTCCCTGGTACCTTTCATAGGCTTTTTT